GGGCACAGGTGGCAGCTGTGGGTAGAACAGTGAGGCTGTGCTGTCCGTGTCCCTCAGTGGCCTGCACGGAGCTGGAGCAGATGTTCCTGTGAGCTGATCAAAGCACTGCTGCTGTGTCTGTCCTTTCTGCAGATCGTAGATGAGCACGGGGCCGTTGTGCCTGCAGGAGAAGAGGGCACCATTGCTGTGCGAGTGCAGCCCACGCGACCCTTCTGTCTGTTCTCCGAGTACTTGGTGAGCCTGACTTGCTGTGTCTGTGCCTGCTGAGAGAGCCGGGAGGGAGCCAGGGCAAAGTTCTGCCAGGAGCAGAATTCCATGCAGGATCTTCAGAAGGTCTCACTGGGTTACTTGAGGACTTTGAGCCTGATCTGTATGTGGTGGTGCTGAGGTTCAGGACATTCTTAAGGAAACAGTAGAATCAGGCAAACTTAAAGACATTCTTCCCTTCAATTGAACTATCATCATGAATAAGCTTTGGGGGACCTATCTATGTTTTTAATCCTTTTCTCAACCCCCATAATATTTTGATAGTTGTAGCATCCTCGAACAGCAATTTGTTCTCACTATGTGATAAGAAACTTCAACAATTTCAATACTATAACTTCTGGTTTTCACTATGTCTTCTGTTGCCAAAGTGTTTTCCTGTGTAACCAAGAAGTTACACTGGGTGTAGAGGTCCTATAGGTCAATGCAAATAATGAAGTTTTTCCTGCAGGTGACCTCATTTGAGTTTTGATCCTGTCAATTAAAGGTAAAAAGTTGCTTTTGACAGGAGGTTATTGAGGCAACCCCCTGCAATGATAAATCATTTCCCTGAACAGAGTGGATTATACATTTTTGTGGGCTACACATCTGCTATGATGGATGGGCATTTCGATAGAGCATGACCTCTTCTCTCTAGAACAGAAATCTCTACATACACTCTTCAGTGTGTAGTGTTCTTTTCTGTCACATACTTCAGGCATCAAACTGCTAATCAACATAGCTCTGGGTTTTTTTAGTTGAAGGTATAAAGCAATATTGAATACACTCATTTTGAGAACAACTTTAAAAATTATTTTTATCATTTTTAGCACCACTGGAAAGGAAATGCGCTATTTTTCACTAATAATCGAATACCTTTTCTGAAAATGTTTGATTGTTGCCAGGATAGTCCAGAGAAAACTGCTGCCTCTGTGCGTGGAGATTTTTATCTCACTGGAGATAGAGGCACTATGGATGAAGAGGGATATGTGTGGTTTGTTGGAAGAGCTGATGATATCATTAATTCTGCTGGGTAAGGCATTGCCTTTTAGATTTGCCTCATGAAGGAAAATGCAAAGACCAATGGACTGGTGCATGCTGCTGGGGCTGATGTGTCTTTGTGCCCCCCTAGGTACCGCATTGGCCCATTTGAAGTGGAGAGTGCATTGATACAGCACCCAGCAGTCTCAGACGTGGCTGTTGTCAGCAGTCCTGACCCAGTGCGAGGGGAGGTAAAACAAAATAGAGAAAAGATGTAAAAGAAATGCCCCTTCTTGTAATATCTTGGCAGATCTTACCATTTCAGAATTATTTCTTTGTTTGCAAGTTTTGATGTGGAAAAATAGTTTGACTTTTCAGACTAATAATGATATGTTTTTGTCTAAGCAATGAAATTTTGATTATTTCTCATTTACCACTAAGCATATAGTGGCAATGATATCCAGGTGTTTAAATTTTGTTTTATATTTCCCAACTTTGAAACATTTCTTTGAGCAACTGGGATGAAATTTGCAGCTTTAATAAGATATAATGTTAAGGGGAAAAAAAGTTGGAAACATGGAAAAAATCCTCTGTTCTAGAATGGCACAGCACAGCAGTTGATAACAAACAGCTAATGAAAAGGGAAATTAAAGAAAGAGCTCACATTTTGGCATTCTCAATTGAGACACTCGCTTTTCACAACAAATGTATTCCTTTATTGCCACCTCTGCATGTTAATGGAATCCCTTCATTTTTGTGGCACAGGTGGTCAAAGCCTTCATTGTTTTAGCTCCTGATTTTGTATCACACGATCCAGAAAAATTAACTCTTGAACTCCAACAACATGTCAAGAAGGTGACTGCACCTTACAAGTATCCAAGGAAGGTAAGCACAGCCCAAGAAGACAGGCTCTCTCATTGTACCAGAAACGGAGCATTTTTTGTCCTGCCTCATCTCTTTTTCAACAGCATTCTGACAAACACTCCAACCTGAGTTAGATAAAATGAAAGTAGATTACAGGGTCTGTTGCAGCTGTAGCCTTGGGTTGGCTGTGTGTGCTAGAAAGTGCCTGGAGGGAGGCAATGGCCATGAAATTTTACTTCATGAGGACCCAGTCTTTCTTTCATGGAGTACAGGAGTTTTCACAGCAGCTCAGATGGGCAAAACATTCAGTCAACATTTCATCATCCCAGCCCTGGCTGGACAGCTTTCCATCCTTTTACCCCCCCAACCATAATGAAAATGGGTCTTTCTTTCAGCTGGGAATTTAACCAGAATGTATTTTTGCCTTTCAAGATGGAGTTTGTTCAGGAGCTGCCAAAGACAACTACTGGGAAAATCCAGAGAAAAGTTCTAAGGACCAAAGAGTGGGCAAACATATAAAAAGAGCAAGAGGATTCTGGGAAGCAAGGAGAGAAATGTTCCATTAGCTGTACCAACCAAAACACATCCAACATGGCACATGTTTATGACCCAGAACACCTGGAAACATTGGGAAAAACAAACTGTGGAAGAAAAAGTAGAAAACACCCATATGGCTTGAGGATATGTGCTATTGGAACCACTTTTGTCATTGACCTACAAATTTTCCAAAGGAAGGACTTGCAAGTTATTCAGAGTGTGAAATGGCAAAGAGAAAGGACAGACCCAAGTGCATACAAAGATTTAATTTTTTTACTGGATATATACATATCCAGTAAAAATATATATAAACATATAAAACCATATGTATAAATGGCTTCCTTTCAAAAAAATAAAGTGTAATTACAACTCTTAAATACATACAAATAAAGGTGAAATTAATAAAAATAATCTTTGTCCTGTGGTGAGTATCAGCAGCACATTAATATATTCTTGTCAATAACTACTACTGTAACATTCTCAAATTCTTTCAGGGTGGAAGGAAAAAGACATTTCTTCTTAAATGATTAAAGCTGAGGCAAAAGAAGACCCAAAATGCTTTAGGTTAAGGTGCAAATTATGCACAACTAACAATGGTGTAAATGATTACATGAAAAAAGTTACTACACAGAAAGAGCTTTGCTGATTGGTCTCTTTTGTGCCACAATCTGTTCTCATTACTTCAGAAGAAGTGAGCAATAAATTCAGAAGGGTTTCACTCCATAACCTTTATGAAGGAGTGTCCAGGTTTCACATCTCCAGGGAATCTTCTCATATGGGAAGCATGTCCTGAAAGGTGAGTGAAATGAATGAAGAGGATCTCCCACAGCAACTCCTGATTTCTAATGTCCCCAACATGTATATGGGAAAGCAGGATAGGGAACTTAACGTTTAATTAGCATGTTAAAATCATCAGTCTGGCTCTGACTAGCCCAAGTGACTTTAATGAAGAACTCATTAATTCATAACTAGATTATCTTTGGATAATCTCAATATTATGCTTCTTTTGTTGGTTTGTTTTTTGTTCTTTGTTTGTTGTTGCAGGATTCATAGCAACAGTTCTGCAATCTTCTTATACAGTCTCCAGCATCTAGACACATTATCTTCTGCCATGAAATTGCTGTTTAAATTACAGAGTTTAAAACTCCTGCGGACTCTGAAGCCTCCTAATAGGACTTTCCATGGACATCCCAGGCTGCTTTCCTGTGATGTATATTCCCAGTATGAGTCCATCAGACTGGGCAAACAGGAGATACCGAAGTACTTTAACTTTGCAAGTGATGTACTGGACAAATGGTCTGAGATTGAAAAGGTAGGTGATCTTCTGTTGTGTCAATGACATACTTAAATTTTAAATTTCATTTGTAATAAGATGGGGTTTTCTTCTTTATAAAATCAACCAGTGATCAAACCAAATTGCATTATGAAATTATACAAAAGTTCATTGTTTCTTGCTTTATTTATTGTTATTTTGTAGGAGCAATAATGCATAGTATAAGGCTTAAATTGAAATAGGATCCAGACTAGGACTTGGGTCTAGAGACAATTAGGCTGGTAAACATTTCAGATTCAGAAAAGAAGAATCTATTTGGAATACCTGAGCTTGATGAATAGCAAATCTTGATCCTTTAAGGACAAGAAAAAAATAAAGCTTATATGCCAGCTGTCAAATACTCAGATCTTCCATAATTTACAGATCTCTGTGCATTATTATTTCAAGGTCTTTCAGAAGAAAATCTTTTATGTTTTAATTCCTATGTTTTGTAGGCTGGAAAGAGACCATCAAACCCTGCTTTCTGGTGGATAAGTGGTGAAGGAGAAGAAGTGAAGTGGAGCTTTGAGGAGCTGGGGTTCCTGTCTCGGAAAGTGGCCAATGTGCTGACTAAAGAATGTGGGCTGCAGAAGGGAGACAAGCTTATCCTGATCCTACCACGAATTCCAGAATGGTGGCTGGTCAAGGTGGCTTGTATGCGAGCAGGTCAGTGAGGTAAAATGGTCCATGCAAATCGGTTGAGAGAATCAAGAATGGATTTATCAAGGAAAAACTGTGTAATAACCCAGTGAGTGGACTAGCTGCCAGGCAGTCCTGAAGGATTCTCACTAGGGGCCATAGGAGACGTAATTCGTGCAGTGGGCAAGAAGATGCCAGAAGGCAGGGAAGAGCCATGGAAATCACCAGGCAGGTCCACATTTCCTTCCTGACAGGAGAGCACAGGCATCTGCATTAATCCAATCTAACTGTTTGGCTGGAGAACACCAGGGCAAATCTGTCTTGGAGATCAGTTTGGCAATAGTTAATAGCTTATGTTCTTAGAAAAGAATCAGATGCAGAAAAAATGCCAACATGAATAACTAACTTTATCTCTCTTCCAGGAATTGTCATAATCCCAGGAACATCCCAGTTGTCAGCCAAAGACATACTGTACCGACTCCAGGCGTCAAAGGCCACGTGCATCATTACCACTGACAAACTGGCTCCTGCAGTGGACTCAGTGGCATCCCAGTGCCAGCTCCTGAAAAACAAGCTAATGGTGTCCAAAGGCAGCAGGGAGGGGTGGCTGAACTTCACTGAGTTGTACCAGTGAGTAGGACTTAGTGGCACTGCAGTCACAAGGACAAAGCAGACCTGTTTCCACAAACTCAGCTACAACAGTTGAAGTTATAATTACATTTTCCTTTTTACAGAAACCAATCTGCTGACCATTCTTGCATTAAAACAAAAATTCAAGACCCAATGATTATTTTCTTTACCAGTGGAACTACAGGTTCTCCAAAGATGACTCAACATTCCCAGGGTAGTCTTGGTTTCAGACCCCTTCTAAGTGAAAGGTATGAAAGAGTTAAGCCTGGTTGAACATAAGATAATTGAAGCTGCATGGTAGAACTATTGTAAAAAATTTATGAATAAGAAATACCAGTGTACATCCCCAGCCCTTCTCCCTTTGAAATCAGAGTTAAAAACCCCATCAAATTGCTAGGGATTAAGATTGCCCCAGTGTCTCAGTCTTCCAATTAATACCTCTTACCCTCTTTCTGGGTGCTTTTCATTATCTTCTTTTTTTTTTTTTCTGTTCAATCAGGTACTGGTTGGATTTGACTTCCTCTGACGTGATATGGAACACAGCAGACACAGGATGGATACTAACTTCAATAGCATCTTTTTTTGATCCCTGGGTTTTCGGGTCGTGCATCTTTATACATAACCTACCACAGACTGACTCAGCAGTCATCCTAAATGTAAGGGAAAAACTCATGGAAATGGATTCATCTGCAGAGAACATGCCAAAAACAATTCCTGACAGCATCCACAGATTTCACGAGGGTTGTGTTTATAGTAGTGTTTGAGATGTTGTATTTGTTGTGTAAAGCCCCTACTTTCATTTTTAATGTATACAGCAGGGGACAAACATGCAATCCATTCATACATTTTGCTCATAGCTGGTGAGTACATGAATGAAAATCATCCAAAAGCAGCACTAAACGTCTGCCATTCATCCTAGTGACTGTTGGAATGATATCAGTGGGTATTAATGCAGAAATGAAGTGTTTCTCTGCCCACACCAACCAAGATGAAAGTGAACACCTCCCTGTGATGTAGACAGAGGAGGAACTATCCTCCCCATGACCAAAGCTGTGGGGTCCTGGTGTCAGGTAGATGTGTTAGCATAGGATTTTGGTAATCAAACACAAATACTCTCTGCATATTGCACCAACTGCAGGAGGGCTCCTCACCCCACAGAGGGTGCAGTGCTTTTACACAGGGGGCAAATGTACTTCTCCTTTCCGTGTCACCTGTTTACTGTACATTCCCAAGGCAGTTTTTTGTCTGAGATTCACATTGTCCTTCTTGTTGTTTAACCCTCTAGACTCTCTGCAGGTTCCCAGTTGATGCCCTCGTTGGTGCTCCAACATTATTCCGCATGCTAGTGCAAGAAGATCTCTCCAAGTATGTAAAAAATTTATTTACTAATGTTTAATTTACCCCAACAAAATTTAGTAATCTCCTATATCTAACTGCTTGACACAAAATAGATTAATAATTTAGTTTAAAATATCCTTCACGAGAAGACCATCATGCAAAATTTGAGTTTTGCTGAGCTTTTTGATCAAACAGAGAAACTTGATGTTTTCCCACAGAAATTTGAGACTTAGGCGACTGTACTTGTTAGTATGAAACTGAGACTGTTAAATACTTTGTCGTAATTTTTTTTTTAATCACATAAATTGTCCACACTTTGGGAAGGACTTCATCCTAGAAAGTGCATGTCAGCGTAACTCTGAGGTAATTATTTGTTGTGGCAGTTGTACCTCAGCCCCTGCTCCAGTTCTCACTGCCTTTCGTTGCTCCTTCCTTCTCTCCTGAACTTTCTCGCTTGGCCTGTTGCAGAGGGTCAGCAATCAGGGCCCTGGCTCAGCACATCAGTATTTGGTTATTTATAATCCCAGCTGACTTCAGCAAAAATTTTATTTTTCACATGTTTAACTCTGACTGCTACTTATGTTGAGTGTTGAGTGATATTCTTGTTATATGGGTAGCAGAAGGAACAGGACCCCTCTGATTTCCCCACTTTGTGGCACTAACTCTCCCAGTAAACAGCTCACCCTTGAATGCTCCTGGTCTCCCCCTCTAGATTTAAGTATTGCCTTTCTTGTTTTTAACTCCCTGTGAAGATACAAATTCATGAACCTGAAGTACTGCATGAGTGGAGGGGAACCACTCAACCCAGAAGTCATGGAGCAGTGGAAGAGCCAGACGGGGCTGGACATCCATGAAGTGTATGGCCAGACTGAAATGGTACATCTGTAGGGACAACAGCCTATTATATCTTTGGAATTTCTTTTTGCTGTAAGGTTTGCTTTGTAAGAACACAGTCTGTTTCCTCCTTCACATTTCTGTGGATGTTTCAGTAATTCCCTTCCCTGGTAACCTCTGAAAGAACTTCCTGTTGTGGCTCTCCTCACAGAACCTGCCATAAAGGTGGGAGTTTGGGAGGGAATGTGCTGTTCTATTTCCACAAATGTCCTTAAGATAATTCCAAGTAACAGTGACAGTCAAGAGGGCAGAGTTTGAATATAAGGGAAGAAGACTGCTTAGCAGAGGACATGAATTTTTCACAGAGAATGGAACAGGATCCTTTCAGGGACTTTTATGATTTCCTTATCTGTACCACACAGCACTGACACCTAGGATCCTATGAATCTTAATTCCTTACTTTGGAGTTAGTCTAGAAACGACATGTAATGAATTGAGTGTGAATGTAGCAATTTTCTATTGCAAACCTT